AGCTTAGCTGAAGAAGCAGAAGACGAGACAGAAGTAGCGAGTTCTCTAGCGGCTGAACAAAAAAATTTAGAAAAATCTGCCGATTCCGGCGACGTAGGAGGTAAGAAAAATGCCGATCTTTTAATGAAAAGTACAACAGTTGAATATGTACAAATGGAAGAGGCGGTAGAGAATGGCAAACCCATTGAAAATGAACTGATTAAACGAGTCTGTTCAATCGAGACAACAAATCCGAATGACTCCTCAGATTGTACATCAGAGGACACGGGATAAAAGAAATTTATGTAGTTAGTTGCTAATATTTATTCGTTACATTACCGTAAATATTTCATTATATGTAGGATAAAAATACAGAAACTGATTACAATATTATCTGATATTTGTATTGTTTCGGTACTTTTGAGATTAGCACACGTCCATCGTAACTAAGAGAAGCAAAAATCCAAGGGTCTACATTGCTCCACTCGACACAATATACTGAATCTTCATGTTGATCAAATGTTTGAAGCAATCCGTCCGAAAGCACTCGCCTTCGTTCTTCAGGCAAACTATCACTAGCGGCTTCGGAACTCACCGAACCGGCACATGTGAGTAAAACTTTGCAGTCACTGGAACTTGACAAAATCAATTGGTCGTGGAATGTGTTGAATCGTACACACCAAACCCAGTGTGCATGATCGTTTCGGGAAAAAACTGCCTCTTTCGGCATTCGGCAATCCCACACTTTTACTGCACCATCATCGCCGCCGGTCACAATGTGACATTGCTTATTCGGATTACAGTCTAAATCACGAACGAGTTGGCTATGCGCATCCTCTATAGACCAAGCACAGTGCTGTGTATCACGAATGTCATATGAGCGCACACTACAATCTTGCAATGTGAAAAACTGGTGACCCTGATGGTGATGTGACCACTTGCCGGTGGTGAAAGGCGGGGAATTTTTTTGTGCATTAGTACCCGCAGTTTCTGCTATTACACGCGTTTGGGATTGTGCACGATCAAAAATTACAACCTTTCCATCGACAACACAGGCCAACGTATTTTTATTGCTCGGATGAAATTCGATGGTTTTCACCTTATCGCCAAATTTCTGAAATAATGCAATCATACTGATATTTTCGATATATGTACGTATGGTAGTGTATTGATTATAACATTCACCTCCGTATCCAGATTCTCTATTTTATGCCAGGGTAAAAACTCCATTTTCACATCTTGTTCATCCAAATCAGTGGGTAATTGAAGCAGCGCTGCATGCGTTTGCACCTGTGCTCCTTTAAGTACGTTGTAGCAAGAGGCCAGAAGATTTTCGTCATGAGGGCTACTGTTCAACTTCCAGACTTCGCCAAGTGAATGTTCAAATATCTACATAGATATTTAGACCGCATAATACATTTTTTTTGCTGCCTGCTGAGCTTACCTTCGATTTTACATTTGCTTTTTCTTCATTGAATTCCAATAAGTGGACCTGATTAGTCGGCTTTAAAGAGTTGGTGGCTATGAAAAAGCGTACCTCATTTCCCTCTCCATATTGTGGTGTTAATGCTCGAGCCTTCATATAACGTTAAAAACTGCAAAATTTATGAATTCTGAATATTCTAACCACTTCACCTGTAATTCCAGCCCATAAATTAATCCATTCGAATCCTCCATGTCCAAAGCAAGCAATTAGGAGCGATTGTTATCTTTTGTTGAAATTTCTAATTTGGTTTATAATTTTCCTGTCATTTCTATTTTCTGCC